GGATGAGCAAACCACCGCTCAGTGAGTAGATGATGTAATATAGTCAAGCAATGTCATTTTACACACTCTAGAAAAATATAGTAAAAAGATACACAATCCAAATCATATTACATCATTACTTCATATCTTGGTTATCCTTCACAAATTGTACCCAGTACGTGACCCCTATTGGCCTCACTACCCTATGTTCCCGTCTGGTACATTTATTCGAATACCCCGTCACTGAAGTTCTCATGTTCCATCAATAACACACACTTCACAAAAACTCTAAATAATATATGTAGTGTGAAATATTGCACAAATTAGACATGCTTGACCTGAAAATAGAGAGAGATTTGTAAATAGATTAAATCCATGGTAATCCATGATTTTCACATTTATCACAAAATAATAACTTTTAGAACACATTACATAACCCACTCACCATAATAAGTATGAAATATTGCAAGACAAACACACATGTTCTTCATCTTGTTTCTTTTTATTCCTTCTCTCTCTCTCTCTCTCTCTCTCTCTCTCTCTCTCTAGCACTACTTCATGGTAGAAATCTATCTTAAAGGATTGGAATGAATGATTGAAGTAAGGAGGCATGATATTTATAGGAGAGGCTATGCATGCACCCAAATAATATTTATATAAACAATATTTTAAACCACCAAAAGATAAGTTATAAAATTAAGGGAATAATGTGACTCATCCCTCTTTGGCCAATAATATCACAACACCACCACCAAAAGATAAGATAGAAAGATGAGAGAATAATGTGAGTATTTAAATAAGAAAAATTCATATTAATAAATAATTATATATATATATATATATTTACAGATTCTCACAAATTCGAAGCCTTGAAAGAATGCAACAATTTTATTTTTAATTTTTAAAAGCCATTAAAACTAGAAAAATAATAATAAACAAAGAAACCAACGTGACAATGACTGCTTCATTTGTGGGAGAAATATCCTAGTAAAAAAAAACCAATTTTCGTTCCAAAAAAAAAAGAGAGGAGAAAGCACATGGATTTTTGTGTTAAAAGAGAAGACGTTGGAATGGGTGGGAGGGTATTGTGGAGAGTTTCTCCCAACTAAAAATATTCTTAAAACATTAAATGTAAAGTTTCATTAAAAAAAGAAAGAATTAAATATGAAGTCAAAGTTGTTAGCAATTGACGTGATCAAAATTCACTTTATCATAATTTTTTACTGATTAGTATGATTTTTTTATAATTTGGGCACCTATATTGGGTATAATAATGAATCTCGAGATATTTAGTTATATACCCATTCTTAGCACTAGCAATATAGATAAACCATATACCATTTAATTTCTATAAACAAACCCAAAAAATACCCAATCTTACACGAAAAGGGGGTATATTTTTGCTCACCACTTTAACCCAAGGTGTAACCTCACCACCTTTCTCAACACTTGACACGTGTCCCTTAGCATAACCATAGTTAACTCTTAACTTTATATTTATGCAACTATGGTTATGTCAATAGACACGTGTCAAATGTTGAGAAGGGTGATGAGGATACACCTTATGTTAAATTAGTGAGCAAAAATGCTCCAACGAAAAGGTCATAAGATCCTCACCCCTTTTGTCAATTAATGCTTACGCGGAATGTCTTTCGTCCACATGACAAGATCACATATCATTCTTCTCATCACAAGAGTTGAAGTCTATAGGGTTAGCGGACCAGGTAGCTAAGCCAAGCCTGACCTAATTACACTTATTTTGGTTCACTGAATATGAAAGTACATTACCACTTAAGTTGTAGATGTCCATTTTTTCTGGGTTTGGTTTTATTCTACTGTTGCCTAACTTTTCATATATAAATGTTACAATGAAAAATGCTGCAAGCTTTTATATCAGTATATCTATCCCCACATAATGCAGCGATGCTAATTAAATTACTTGAGAAAAAGAGCTCCAAATGAAAAGCCTTCCACATGCTACACTGTCATCTAGTACATCCTTCATGCCATATATTTAAACCCCATCTTCATCAGCTTAGTAAAGTCACGTTTAATTCCTTCTTCTGGTCCTTGAGTCAATCTGAAATGGAATTCAGAGTCATAAAATCTATGAAAATGGGAACATTGGCAGAGCCAAAAGTTCAAAACTAGACATATTTTTCATAAAAGTTATGAAGATTGAAAATTAGGTTGGATCCCTTACTCTTTTGCTATCTTCATCTTGTATTCCAGGTAGTTTTCTTGGAAGTTGTTGGAATTTAGGAGGTGTGTGATGAGTGTTTGTGATGATACCGTTGTTAGTTTATGTGGTGAAGGGACTTAGGACAATAGGACAATAGTTGAACATAGTAATTTTATTATATTTGGAGGAGAATAGTGCATAGCATGGTGTAGGCTAATTGGCCTTCTTCTTAGCTTATTGGCCACCACACTTGATTTAGATTAGTTTGGCTATTTGGCCCTAGCTTGAGCTCTTGTCTTCAAGCTTCTTCCATAGGTTGGGTAACTCACATGTAGCTCCCTTGTGGATTGGGACTTGTTGTAGTGGCTAACTCCCACCACCTTTAGTTGATTAGCTACAGGGACAGACCCATTCCCAGGCTAACCTGGGCTATAGCCCAGGTGTCTTGATTTGTTTTAGCCTATTGTAATACTCCTAGCCCGCCCAAGCAAACCCCACACAACCTCTTGCGCTGAAAACATCCCTTAGCTAATGCACGCAGAGAAAAAAAATATATGAAGAAAGAGCCAACATCCCTGCTACACACCAATCAACCATGCCCTTCAATGCTTAATTAAAGCAAACCAAATTAATCTTCCATTTTTAATCTTCTTTTATTGTCTTAATTTGTTGATGTTGAAATTTAGGGACTTTTTAGAGTTTATGAAGTATCAATTAGGAATTTATAATTTTTTATTTAAAAAAATTCTATGTATTTTTTTTTTGGCTTGACCAAAACATTTGATTGTACAGGTTTTATAATTAAAAATAAACAAATGAAAGTAGGTCAGCCCCTTATAGTCCCCTAAAATTCCAATATATTTTTAATTATAATCATTCATGTTTTACGCCATAAAGCCTTAATACTAATAATTTCTACACTTTTGGAAAGAAAAAAATAGCTTCTACATTTGTAATTGTTTAATTAGTATGAGTTTATTTCTTTTGTTTGTTAGTGTGAGTTTTTGTTTTGGTTAATTAATATAGGTTTTGTGTTTTAAAAAAAAATTGGAAATCTGTACATATCGATCCCATTGATTATGTTCCTCTCTTTGAGGCTTGTACGTAAGGTAAATCTAGCCCACCATAATTTGAAATCCTGGGTCCATCCTTGATTAGCTAGATAGCTAGCTTTGTTGCTTAGTTTCCTAAATTTTCTAGCTTCGGATTTTAGGTAGCTCTGGCTCCCTTATAGTTTGGGAGTTCTTTTTGTTAGACTCCACTTTGCTTTATTGCATTGCATGCCTATTTATAGGCATTCTTTGCCGACATCACCAAGTCCACCGACTTGGCTTCTTTTTCTCTAGCCACAAGTGTGTGGCTTCATCTAGAATATTCTATATTGTACAATATTATTTTCGCTTTTTTATCACAAAACGTCCTTGACGTTTGCGAAACTATTAGATTGCATCCTTAAAGTTTTTTTGTATCACTCGTGGTCCCTAAAGTTAATATGGGTGCTCTTAAATAGTTCCTCCGTCAAAAAAATTGTTAAATCCCCATTTTATGATGGATATAATCGTCAAATCAACTCCCTTTTACCTCCTCACGCTTCAAATATATTTCCTCGAGGTCGTCGTCAACATCATCAAACCCATTTCTAGTCTTTTTCTGAGAAATGAGGTTTTTCAGTCGTGGGAAATTGGGCGGTAAAGCTTATCTGCAGAAGTGATTGAGAGAAGATGGATGAGCAAATGAAAACTATCGAAAAGGGGGAAAGGCTCCATCGTAATAAGGTAAGAATCTATTGAAGAATTTAATTTGTTTCATGTGGTTGGTGTATGTATTTATTATAGAAAGGCTTTGAAATAGGTACTGTTGGTTTGTCTTATGTATGTTATTAGGGCTTGAAATAGGTGATGAAGGAAAAAAGACTTCAATTGTTGGGATTGATTAAGTGTTTGTTCTGGCAGATCCTGACAAGCTTACTCTTGAGATTCATTATGGAGGTACACTAATGCAAGTTGCTGTCACAAAAGGGGAATATGAAGGGCAAAATGAGGGACAAGATGGGAATGGTACTAAAAATGGAAGGCAAATGAAGAGGGTGATGAAGAAGATGGAGGGAAATGGTTCCAAATTGGCGGCAAATGGGTCTGAGGCGTTGGAGAGGTCAAAAGGGATTGATCTGACGATTATATCCCTCATAAAATGGGGATTTAACGATTTTTTTGACGAAGGAACTATTTAAGAGCAATATTAACGTTTGGGACCACGAGTGATATAAAAAAACTTTAAGGATGCAATCTGATAGTTTCACAAATGTCAAGGACATTTTGTGATAAATTGTTTAGCCATCATGCTCCACCGCCATAGTCTAGCAACATGAGTATTCTTACTCGAGAGTTCTTCCAACTTCAATTCTCTTTGTTTAGCTGACATAGTATGTTCTCCATAACTCTAGAACCATCCTTGTATTCATGATTCTTCTAGAACTGTGTAGAACACAAATGGACATTATTTTTCAAACAGAAGTAAATTGCAATTTCTTTGATAGTGGGATTGGCAACTGCACAGCAGAATCTACCTCTCATTGATGAATGTTCCATGCAGAAGATATGCGCTTGGCAGACATATTCAACGCATACATAATACAATGGAGCTAGCGCAAAGCTGACAAAGATTCACCAACAAAATTTCAAATTTGAACCAATGTGTAAAGTTACAATCACTAATCTTCATTCTTACTGATCTTGGGTTGCCGCACAGTGCTTAAACCTAGTGATCTAAAACCAAGTAGGGCAACCATGTTACCATGAGATTACAAACTGTGTTTTCTCATAAAACAGAGAACTTGCCATTTTAACATGTAGCAACAGAGGTCGCAAGGGACTAGGAAGTGGGTTCAAATGTAGCCTCTTCATGCCAAACACAGTTCAAATTAGACTGCCACAACCGTACTGCCCCATCATTCCCGGTAGTCGCCAATGTCATCCCACTCATGTCCCATTCCATCTGCCAGACCTGATCACAAAATGAAGGACTTTAATCAATTAGGAAGATTCACAGCCTTTCTTTCATTAGATAATTCACACTGTGCCCTACTAAGGCTCCACAATTGTATCACTCCAACATACACACAGTCATAATTCCACTTTTTCATGCTCAGATTAACGGTAAGGATTTGTGCTCCAAAACGAAATGATCGATAACATTTTCAATAGTTAGTATGGATACCTCGCCGTTGTGACCCGAAAGTTGTGCAATCTTCTCCAATGAGAGCCTTCCATCTGAGTCGGGGTTTAATCCAAGATGCCATATTGCTATTCCCTTGTGAGTGGCAACAGCAATTACCTCATAGGGCCTGAATGAAATTTATACAATTTTACTCTCTCATATAAAATGGAATGAGGCCATTTTTCCTTCAAATTTTGAGACAGGCAGAACCTTGAATTTTATATGATGACAGAAAACAATATTTTCAGATTCCCATCAATTGCTCATCAGTGCTTGCATGAGCAATTAGACAATTTACTACCTGCCAATGTTTGGTGCCCATGCAACAGTATAGACCTGATCAACATTGTCACCAGGCGAAGCCAACTCTGCAACTGGGAGCCATCTTTGATGAGCCTGATCAAATTCCCATACCTGTAAAGTAATATCATAAGATTATGCACAGTATCATTTTTGACAAGTTGACCTAGCTTCTAGACCTGAAATGATACCATAGTTTCAAAATATACTGCAGGAAAGAGAAAGTTGTGTATTGAAGGAGACAAGCCACATAAAATTAATGATAATTGATTAGGAAACAGGATTAAGCAGAATTTAGAATACCTTGGAAGAATTAAGTTGTGGTGTGTCTGAATTGAAACCCAAAACAAAGCTGGATTCCTGGCTCTCTCCTCTTTGTGGATTCCAAGATATAGATGCAGATAAGCACATGGCTTTCCCAAACGTAGACACTGAATCAATAACATTCTGAAATTCAGCCTGGGCAAAAAGATCATGAAAAGATAAGGTTACAGAGCAATTTCAAACTGTAAAAATCTGTAATGAATCTTTCTGCTTTATGCAGGTTGGCTTTTGAGTTGGTATATGCATGATATATGGAGTTAATAGCACAGGAGATGATTTATCATGGTTCAACTGGAGAGATGTCATAAAAAGTAAAAGGGTATAACCATGTCAAGAGAGCGTACAAGAGAAAAAGCCCCACAAAGAAGAGAGAGCAACAGAAACACACGCTCATGGTCCATTCATTCTAAGTCGTGGCACTAAAACATACAACTACATGAAAAATTAGGGAAATACACATTCACATATATATACCTCTGTTGTCTTTTTAATATGCACGAGAACTATGTATCATTTTATAAGAAGGAAAACACCAATAATCTTATAAGACATAAAACTAGAATTTACCTACAATGTTTCAATTTTGTACAGAAATAACATGATTTGCAAATTTTCAGCATCAATTTGGGCTGCATAATAATATTATAAAAAAACAACAAGACTTATTTCCGGGCCGTAGTATATTATCAGACTGAATCAGATAAATGATCACCTGAAGTTGCCAATTCTTCAGATCCAAGGGATCTAGTAACTCAGAGACCTTGACATGGCCATCAGAATATGCAGTAACCTATAAAATGAAACAAATTACAGTTCATGACATTTCATTGTCACAAGGCAAATGATGACCATAGTATGTTGCACAGATTTTCTACAAGGGCACCAACTGAATATACATGGCATCCTAAATGATATTAGAAGAAATTAATGAAAAAATCAGTACGACAATAAACATTTGTCACTTCCAAACTTGATTTTAGAACATATAACCGCCAAAACTAAAACGAAGAAACAGCAGCTATAAAAGCTAACCATTTTTAAACCTGACGGTGAGACTCCAAATTGGGTATCTAGCAGTTGAGCGGAACCACTTTTAAAGCTTGTGCAGAGCTTCCATTGAATAGGTTGTGCATCTAGACAACAATAAAACCTAATTTTTCATCAGATACAATGCTCAGTAAAAAAATAAAAAAATAAAATAAAAAAAAAAACTTTTCGTCAGTATCCCATAAACTAAATTAGACTGATTCAGTTTGAAGTTGATAATTGTGGAAGCTGGATTAGAAAAGATAACAAATTCAAGGAAAATACCTTCAGCAGCCTCCTCCCACAGAGACAAAGTTCCATCTGCGCAAACACATGCCACTGCATCACCATACTCTGGAGGAACCCAAACAATTTTCACAATGCCAGCAGCCTCATGCACCTAAAACAAACACAATTGCAATATTTTTTAACACAAAAACACAAGCTTTCAAGTGGAATTGAAAAATTAAACGGAAAAGAAAAATGAAATGTGTCAATTCCTGATATTTGAAACTAATTGGAACAGGCGGGAGTTGGGGACCTTCGATTTTGAAGTGCAGGAGAAAGAGGAAGAAGCTGAGTCGCGCGTGTCGAAGATGGCGAGGGTTCCGTCGACTGAGCCAGTGGCCAATCTCCGGCTGGAGTAGTTCCACGAAGAGCAGGTGGTGCCTTTATCAAGTGCCACCAGAGGTTTCTCCATGTCCGTACAGTCCCTGGAGCTCCAATTAGAGCCCAAGGTGGTCAGAGGTGGGAGGAGCGAAAACCTCTTCGTGTAGGGTTTTGGTAGACGTTGGGGCAGGGTTTTAGTGGGGTCGGTATAGACTCAAAACGGGTCCACCCATTTAAGTTTAACAGTGAGTGAGAAATACGTCTTTCAAAAGCCTCTAAAAATCCTAGATGAAATGGCACCATTTCTATATGACAAACCTTTTTTGTTGTTGTCCAAACTGTCATGACAACTTAATACATGTAAGAGTTTTCTTAGATTTTAATTAACAAGTCATGTTAAGTATAATATCTTTTTGAGGCTAAGGGCCTGATAACGAGGTTTAGAGTGAGGGTTTAGGGTTTAGGGTGAGGTGTTACTATATTACGTGCCAATGATGAATTATACAACGGAGTTTAACGTATGATAATCATTAAGGGATGTTTATTTAATTGGGATTTTAAACGATTATTTTGGGATAAATAAGTCACGTGGTATTCAATTAAGACTTTTAAATAATCTAAACAAGTCTTGTGGTATTCCATTAAGACTATTACGATTTTAAAATGAGGGTGTCAAAATCTAGTGGTATTCAATCAAGACTTTAAACAAGTAACAAAAAGTCTTATGGTATTCAAAATCTTGCTAATTTCAAAGGATTTTTTAAAATGTGAGATTGTGTAAGATTATTCAAAATCCATGGTGACCAAACCACTAATAACGACCACTGGGTATAAGTAATGTTCTTTCCTCACATTTCCTCACATGAAGACCAAACCACCTTCAAAACTAGAGTTTTCTGCTGTTGGGGTATAAGCTTCTAGTAATCCATTAAAAAAAATCCTATAAGTAATTATATTATGCTTAAATCTGCAAGACTTTTTAATTCCAAAATAGTCTTTTAAAATCTCAATTAAATACATCCCCTTAAAACAACAATCGTCAAATATCATATAGACTACGAATAGATGGATCACA